GACAGTGATGCCTCTATGCTCCGGCACCCACTTTTCAGCTCAACTCTTGTGTCTCGCCTCAATCATTCAATCACCCTCTTGAACTCCGGGTGTGACTTCAGTATCTGACCCCGAGCTGCTTGAAAGCGCTCGGCCAGGATCAAGCGGTCGGCAGCGCTTACACACTGCATCTGCCACAGAATCAGTGACTTCAAAAACTGGAATCGTTTCACGACAGCGCTCCTGTCGGACTGCACAAGAATGACTAGTATGGAGTCGACGGAAACCTGTTCTTGAGACCGTCACAAAGTAAGGAGCATCAGCTCCCCCATCTTTCCCCGCCTCCGGGAGAGAAGAAGCCCCATCACCCTTGGCGCGTTCCAGAATCTCAGGGGACATATCAATCAGCGGGAAAGTCCCCCCCAATGACCAAGTCCTGTCCTCGGTGCTCCACTCCAGACATTTCAACCGTCGCTTCAGCTGCAGTGGGGGGCCCCCCCGTTTCACGTGATATTCCTGAATTTCATCAAGACATTCTTCTTCCACGATTCCTGGCTTTGGATGCCCCTCCAAAATTGCGCGACAAGTCTCGCTTTGGACATGATGCACAACCTGACGTGAAGTAAGAACATAGTCTTGACTGCCATGCTTAGCCGCTGACCATCGACCGAGATAGTCACGCTGCTCCTTAGCCACCTTGGCGGCCGCCGCCAAGCTCGGCAGTGTGTGCCTGCCCGAGTGGCCCATAAAATACGGGACCACCTCCTCAGGAAGAAGCACGTTGTCGCGAACGTATGTCCACTTCCCATTCCTTTTCACAGGCTGCGGCAATCTCTTAAGCAAGCTCCGGAGATGCAAAGAAACCTCCTCGCTGTCAATGTAGCCCTTTATAGGAGTGCTCCAATCTTCTCCGAAACGAACACAGAAATAGTCGCGCTCGAACTTGATTGACTCAGCACCCAGCAGACGATATCCATAGCCAATCCAGTCGAACCCCGACAGACTGATGCCTCGCATGACAAATGCTTGGAGTTTGCCTACATGCTTGCCGGCCCCAGACGTCTTTGTCCTGTCCAGGGTGAACTTCAGACCAATTTGCGAAAGCAGAACGCTGGCAGGGTTGACATTCTGCAGATCATCCACTCGCAGAGTTGCCCACACCAACAGCAATAGCACAAAAGAGTAAAATCGTGCCCCGAGGCAAGCCGAGGGATCACACACCACCAACTCGCAGGCTAACAGTACAATGATGGGATACATCGGTGCTTGCTTGACTGGTGCAGCGTCCTGCTCCAACTCTGCCTTCCAAGAGCGCACCCCTTCCACAAGAAGCATATCCTCGCTGAGACGCGCAGATGGTTCAACCTGCCCAACCAGCTCAAGAAGTCCCAGAGTAGAAAGGATCCCACTGGGTATTGTCTTGCCCAAGGGAGATAGTTCATGCCTCTCCTCCAGATACTGCAAAACCTCCTCTGCACTCCGAGGCCAGCACACGGCAAAAGTCACACGAAGCCACGCGCCAAGCTTCCTCCAAGCCATTGCCCTGTTCTTGAGGGTCTTCGCACGGCGCGACCCGAAGGCGCGAATCCAAGAGGTCTCAGGATTGCTCATGGAATCAATGCGAGCAGCTGCAGGCAACCCGGCCTCGCGGATCACCACTGCCAGCTCCAAGATCCATCTCTTACGGCTTAGCTCCTCCCGCGTCTGCCGGCTGCCGTCGGAACCTAGCTTTCGCTGCCGCAATGCCTGCTCCAAGATTTTCACTCCCACCTGAGGATTGCGTGAGATCAAGGAATCAAATTCAGCGCCTGCATCCAATTTTGGCAGAGGAATCTTTGTTGAGGACTCACTCACCGCCCCAGCTCTGAAAGAAACTTCGCTACGCACTTTGGGTGCCACACGACGACTCCAGTCGAAGAGACCAGAAGCCAGGCGCTTCCTCTTATCCGGCGGATATTGTCCCTGAAGAGCTTCCTCTACCAACTCAGCCGCACTGTCAGCACTGTAACAAGCAAGAGCCAAAGTGCATGGATCCTTGAAGGAACGCTGCAG